TTCTAGAAGCAGATTCCGGGTCCACAGGGGCTTGGGAGATGGGGAGCAGAGGGGAAGGAGCCCTTCTAGTTTTCCCTGTAGTTGTGGCCTGCACTTCCAAATATAGTGACTGGATTGAAGATCCTCAGACTGGCACGAAAATACAAGTGAACTTGTTATTGCCAGGTGAGATTTCAGAAGAGAAGAACCCGGCAGCCTGAGATCTCCTAGGGAGCACTGGGGGGCCCCGAAGAAATGTGCACCAACTGGGTAGCCAGACAGAGATGCAGGCCCCCAGCTCTGTGGGGCGGCCGGCTGCGTGTCACTTCCTCTTTCTGTGCTCAGGTCTCCCAGCTGAAAAATAATCCTACATGCCTAAGCTCCCAGGCCCCTGATAGCTGTTTCGGGGCCCCTGTTGATGCCTGGGAGGAGACGGAGGGGACAGATCCTGGCCTTGGCAAACCAGCTCAGCTCCACACAGTTAGCTCAGAGCTCTCAGGGCCCGGAGCCTGGGGCAGGGGTGCATCCTGACCCGCGCGAAGAGCAGGGTGGTTGGCGCATGCGCTGTGTGCTGCTCTGGTCCCTCCAGGAGGACTGGATTTCGTGGTTGTTAGTGGTGTGCAGCCCCCTGCAGCTGTGTGTACATGTTTTCCAAGTTTGTCCTAAACTTCCTGTTTGGGTGTGGGCTGAGGCCCGGAGCATTGTGAGCATTGACCAAGATCTAGCGCTTCTCTGGTACCAGCCATGGGATGGACTGTTGGTTCCCGTGGTGACTTCTGTCATTCCCTCTTTGCAAACCTTTTTGCTGGGAAATGCTGTATAGCTTCTGGATTTGTTTCATGAGTGCTGAGAGAGCCCTGAGGTCTGAAGGCTTGAAGGAGGGAGGGGAGCATCCAGAGGGCCCCTTATGGGCTGGGGATACGTCTCAGTTTTGGTACTGGTTCCTATTGCCAGGGACCGTGCTGGGTGTTTTTGTACACTTCTTGTTTCATCGAGGACTCACATTAGCTTATGTAGAATGAGGCTCAGAGAAGTTGAGTGACCACCCCAAGGTGCAACAGCTGCTGGGTGGCAAGGTCAGGATTTGATCCCAGGCTTGGCTCCAGGACTCCTGTTATTTCAGCTAAGTCAGGAGGCGCGCACTGCCCCTTTGGTAGATCTTGACAGACAGGGCCTTGACTGCCATAGTTTCTCCCAGAGCCTGTTATTCAGGACCACCCTTCTCTCTTTGTGGGGGGATTTGATGGGCTTTGGGTGGTCTGCTGACTTCCACCTCCTCCAGCCATCCTCCCTTTGTGGCTCTGGGTTTCCTAGAATCACTGGGTATCGCTTCGTGATGATCGAAGTGGAGTTTAACAGACCTGATTTCCCAGAAATGGAGTAGTCTTTTTCCTACTAAAGAGGAGAGCCTCGACTCTTCTGGCCCACTCAGCCAGACTGGTCACTGGCAAGCTCTTCTCCTGAAGAAGACAGGCTGTGAGCCAAAGTGAAAGGGTGGCAAGAAGGACACCAGGACCTTGCTTGGGCCAGTGCAGGACCAGGTGGGAGGAGCCAAATCCAACCATCCTCCTCAGCAGAGTAGTTCTTAGAAGGTGCCAGACCCCCACACCAGGAGGCATGGGGTCATGCAGGACAAATGCAGAACAGGTGTGCCCCCAAAACTTGAAGGCCAGTGTTGCTGGGCATGGTGGCACACGCCTGTAATCCCAGCGGCTTGGGAGGCTGAGGCAGGAGGATCTCGAGTTCAAAGCCAGCCTCAGCAACTTAGTGAGGCCCTGAGCAACCCAGCCAGACCCTGTCTGAAAGTAACACAAAAAGGGCCTGGGGATGAGGCTCAGTGGTTCAGCGCCCCTGGGTTTAATCCCTGATAACAAACAAACAGTGTTCTTCCCCCCAGCCATCACAGTTCTCCTGTGTTTTCTGAAAACCCTCTGAAATTCTGTCACCTGAGCATCATAATTGTTCTGTGGATCAGGTAACATTTACCATTGAGATATGGTCGGGCTGTGGGCTATGGCAAGGGTTTTCTCCACACCGTTACTTACCCTCAAGGGGTTTGCAGTCTATAAGGGGGAGGGGTCCCTGCTCAGTGGGCCTCCATAGAGGGCCAGGAGCCAGGTAGAGAGAAGGGTGGGGCGGTAGGGTGAGGGCCCCGGGGTGCAAGGGGTGGGAGGGGCAGAGGGGCATGTGGGAAGCCACATCGTGGAAGGACGAGTGCATCATTTACAAACGATGCCAGGGGATGCCTGTGGGGTTTGAATTATCCTGTATCGGGGAGCCACCGAAATGGATCAAGTAGGATGGGGACAGGGTAAAACCGTGCCACAAAAAAATTCATCAGGAGGTGTGGACTGTGAAAAGGATCCAATAGGAGGCGAGTGAGAGGCGATTATCCTGTTGAATTTGAAGCATGAGATGTTGGGGATGTTGAGGACTTTGATTAGGTTGGTGACAGTGTATAGAGAAATGAAAGTTTAAGCCCCAGCTCTGTCACTTGCTGCCTGTTTTGACTCTGAGCGAGTTAATCTCTTTGAAACTTGGTGTCATCCTCCAAAAAGAGGATGGAAAAACACTTGGCAGAACGGCTGTTGGAGGTTTTTGGCTTTGAGCACACCCAGGACTTAGCACGTGCTCAACAAACAGGAGTCCTCTCAAATAAGAAGAGTGTGATTTTGTGATGATTGACCGGGAGGAATCAGGGGGGCACAAGGCTCTGCATCTGGGCACCTGGCGTATGAGGATGGCTGCCCCGGCAGAGAGGGAGCTTTTGGGGTCCTCGAATTCCCCTTTAGGAACACTCTCCTCCTGCACCCTGGCTGCTAAGGGCTGCGCCTGCGTGACAACCCCACAGTGGCTGCCCCTCGCCGTGCCTCCGCCACCTTGCCTCGCTTAGGAGGCAGCCTGGCCTCAGCTGTCCCCACAAGGAGCTGCTCAGGGTGAGCCCGCCCAGGTGCCCCCCACCCCGCGCCTCCCCCTGCACCTGGACCCACCCCAACCTGCTTTCCTTCCACTCAGGCAAGAGGCGGCCTGCCCCTAGCCAGGGGCCCTCCTCTGCATGGTCCCTCCGCCTCTTGGGGACCTGGGACTCCGCCCCCTTGTGGCCCTCTTGCCTTCGGCCATCATCTCCTGTCCTCGCAGCCCGACACACTTGTGGAAGGTAGTCCAGCGATTTGCCCATTCACAGACCGCCCGCCTCTGCCTGTGGGCGATATTCCTGGCCCCGGGCAGGGACTTGGGGGATTTTGCAGCCGAGGGCTCTTATGGTCCACAGGGACTGCCTCATCTAAGGTGCCCTGGGGCCTCCATATGGCCACACCCAATGGTCGCTTCAGCCCTTATCTTTCTGGATTCTTCTACTTTTTGATACCCAACTTCCTCCTTTGTGCAGTCTCCTCCTCTTTTCTCTTGACTTCTTTGATGTAAATCAGTCAACAACTGTTTCTTGAGCACGTACTATGTGCCAGGCTCTGGAGCATACCACAATACAATGGTGTGAAGGAAGAGAAATTTAAAAAGGAAATAAATGCCAGGTGGTGACAAGGGATACAAAGAAAAATACAATAGGGAAGGGGGGGATAGAAATGTGATGGGGTGGAGTGGGCCTCTCTGAAAAGGGCATTAGAGCAGAAACCTGAAGGATGTAGAAGGGTGCCCAGGGAAGAGAACTCCATGCAGAGGGAGAGCAAGTGCAAAGGGCCTGAGGCAGGAGCCTGCTTGGGATGTGTGAAGAAGCCATTATAGCTGGAGGAAGTTGAGGAAGGGCAGAGAAGGAGGAGAGGTCAGGGAAGAGATCAGCCAGGTTATGTGGACTTGGTAAATGATTTCAAAGACTTTGTTTTACATTGGAGGAGGTGAAATACCATAGAAGTGTATTAAGCAGAGGAGTGATTGGGGGTGGGTGAAACCAGGGATTGATCTCAGAGGCATTGGACCACTGAGCCACATTCCCCACCCCATTTTGTATTTTATTTAGAGACAGGGTCTCACTGAGTTGCTTAGCATGCCACTTTTGCTGAGCCTGGTTTTCAACTAGGGATCCTCTTGCCTCAGCCTCGTGGAGCCACTGGAGTTACAGTCATGTGCCACTGTACCTGGCTCAGAGGAGTGATTTTTAAATGACCATTTAGGTTGTTCTGGAGAGCATGGTATGTATTAGTTTGCTCAGACTGCTGTAACAAAGTTCCACATACTGTGTGGCCTAAGTAATAGCACTCCATTGTCTCAGGGTTCTGGAGGCTGGGAGTCCCCGGATCAAGGTGTCAGCAGGGCCATGCTTCCTTTGAGGACTCTAGGGAAGGATCAATTCCAGGCCTCTCTCCCAGCTTCTGAAAATTCCTTGACTTGAACTGAATAACACCAATCTTTTCATGCCCTTCTCCCTTTGTATGTCTCTGTGTCAAAATTTCCTTTTATTAAAAATAAGGACACCATGGATATTGGTTAGCCCCCCCCCCAATCCTACAATATGACCTCATTTTACATAATTATATCTGCAGTGACCCTGTTTCCTAATACGACCCATTCTGAGATACACGAGGTTAAGGTTTTAGCACAGGAGCTTTGGGGGACACAGTTCACCCCATAACACAATTCAGCCCAGGATCCATAGGTGATGGAAAGGTGAGTTTCAAAGCAGAACCAGCAGTGAGTGGGGTTTCAGGGAGGCTTGGACCAACAAGGTGGCGGTGGCCAAGGTCAAAAATGATGATGTAATTTGAAGCTAGAGCTGATGTCATTTGCTGGTAGTTTGCGGGGAGGGAAGGGAAAGGGGGCCATGATGACTGGGTTTGGGACCCGATAACCAGAAGAGTGGAGCTGGATGTCTTTCTCCCCTGAATCCTCTTCTCCCTCAGGGACCCTCCTCAGCAGCCCAAGCTGGGTCCTCCTGGCTCAGCCCAGCCGCTGTCAGGTTCTTCTAGCTTCTGTCCCCCGTCCCTTTTCTAGCCTCTCCCTGATTGTCACTGACTGTTCCCATGTTGAAGCCAAATGTCCTGAATGTGCTCTTTGGGTCACTCCTACAGGCCTCGGCTCTGGAGGATGCTGAAGGAGGAAGACGCTGAAGCAGGACGGCCCTGAAGGAGTGACCCCCTTACTCCTCAAACAGGTAGCGCCTCTGAGCTTCTTGGTGTGAGGAGATTCTGTGACAGAGGTCGTAAGATCCTTCTTTAACCCCTGTGCTGTGGGAAGACGCCCCAGAAGGGGCAGAGGGCTGCCCTGGGCCTGGGTCCCCCAGAGACTTCTGGAAAACCTTCCCTGGGAGATGGTCAGTGGATCCACATACTGGTTTTCAGTGTCATCTGGAGTGAGGCCGGGGGCATCCTGGTCTTGTTTCACTTTGCAGAATTGTTGTCAATGCTTAAGACTTGAAGGGATGTCCCTGGATGGAGCCCTGGTAGAGTTTAGAAGGAATAAAACAGGGCTGTATGCACCTCTGGAGAATTGTAGGAGAGGCCACAGAAGCCAGCCCTGGGGCATTTCTAGTGTGTTCGTCAGCTGTGGCCCTGTGATCTCTTCCAGTCTCAGTTTATCCCTTCAGAAAATGGGCACACAGCTGAGTTTCTTTTGCCAAGTGCCAAAAAAAAAAAAAACCAAAAACAAAAACAAAAACCTCTCGGAAGGGTCAATAGGTCTGTAATGCAAAATATTCAGAACAGCTGCTGACATCCTTCATACTCTATTATCTACAGAAATGAAGTAAAACCTTACTAATTTGGACTCATTATTAAGGATAATACTGAGAGGAAACCCACTCTTCCCCTCCACCCCCAATCCTGGGGATTGAACTCAGGGACACTGAACCACATCCCCAGCCGTATTTTGTATTTTATTTAGAGACAGAGTCTCACTGAATTGCTTAGCAAATCACCGTTGTTAAGGCTGGCTTTGAACTCATGAACCTCCTGAGCTGCTGGGATTAAGTTGTATACCACCAGACCCAGCAGGAAACCCACTCTTAACTAGCAAAAGTCTGAATTTTAGAGTGTTTTGATATAGTATAGTTTTGGGCAGAATCTTCCCAAACATTTCCATTTGGGAGCAATTAGCATCTGATTTTCAGTAGGTCTTTAGATGCAGAATCTTCCTGCAGGTTAACCAGGTCTTTTGCAATCCTCTTTAATTTCTGATTTGCTTATTCAACCTTTTTATAGCCATCAAACTCAAATTCTGGGTTGGTGAAGATTAAATTACAGTAATGAGGTTCCTCATTTATAACCACATTTATAAAATGGGAATCAGAACAGCACCTACTTTATAGGTTTGCTTCAAGGATTAAGTGAGGTAATCCAATAAAGTGTTTAGCCCGGTGGCTGGTCCAATAAACGTTACCTTTATTACCATCATATATCTCAAAATATCGTCACCTTTATGTGTTTATGTGCATGTTTTATCTAGGAAATTAACTCTCTTCACAAACAAATATATTATCAGTCCCTGATTAGCTTTGTTAGGGATGAGGTAAATAAATGTATTAAAACATTCAGTGTTTATGGATGTTTTAGTGGGATTTTTTGGCTAGAATTCATTTTTGGGGAAAACATCAATAAAGAAAAGTCTAAGTAGCTTACAGTCAAGTTATAAATAGGTATAATCCCTGTGGGGGGGCGGGGACTGGGGATTAAATGCATGGGCACTTGACCACGGAGCCACATCCCCAGCCCTATTTTGTATTTTATTTAGACAGGGTCTCACTGAGTTGCTTAGTACCTTGCTTTTGCTGAGGCTGGCTTTGAACTTGCAATCCTCTTGCCTCAGCCTCCAGAGCCGCTGGGATTACAGGCATGTGCCACCACACCCATCGAAAATAGGGATTTTAAAATTTCATGGCAACATGCTAATCTGTTCTTGCTTGAAAAATCCTTTAAATAGTTGATGACCTGTCCCAGCTCATTGTCTCTCTCTGTTCAGTTTGGTGTGTCCAAAGGGATGGGCGAACCTCCTTGGATTTGAGTTTCCAAGCCAGTTGCGCAGTCACCCTGGGTGGATGGTTTTGGGGATGACCTGGAGACGGTGAGGTGTTTCAATAGTGAGAAGCTAGGATTGGGCATTGATTTCAGTGGAGTTCTAGCCACAGGAAGGATGCTGAATGATTCTTGGACCTCTCAGCATCTCAGGAGGCTCTAGTGTCTTTGAATTAGGGTTCCCAGATTACTGATGAAGGACACACAGATTAGTACAGGGCCTCAAAGCTTCCACACTTCAATTCCAAAACCCAGAAAGAGGTCATTTTGAAGGGGGAGGGAGGGCGGGGCACAGGAGTGCAGCAAAAGGAGGGTGCTCTAAAATGATCATGAACCCTAAAGACCATGTGTTTCCACCCATCACTCCTTGAGGGTGGACTGGAATTAGACTTCAGTTTTCTGTAGGTTATTTGTTGCTCTCCATGTTTATGCCATGCAGATGGGAACTGATGGACCCTTAAGTCATTGGCTGGAAAGGTACTGTGGACAGTTGGTTCTCAAATTAGATGAGCCAGACCAAGATAGTACAAAAAAAAAAAAGAAGGGATTTGGGGGATTGTCCAAGGGCTACCAGTTTTGGTTGGTTGGTGGTTGGTTGTTCTTTTGTAAAGGTAGAACATTTTTTAACATCCAATCACCAACATTTTATAAAAAGATGAATTCAGGCTAAAATAATAGGTAGGAGATAATCTAAGAACAAACCAAGAATCTTTGGATTGAAAACACCCAACTTTAAGAATAATTTATTACACTGTTCTTGTTTCTCTGACATGACCTCTGAAAACTCCATCAGGTATGGGCATTGTCCCGAATCTGCCGGTTAGTGGTGTTGGGGAACCACCTGGAGATGGGGAGCTATCTATGCAACATGCATCCCTAGGAGGAAAAAATAGTTTTTGAAGCCTAGAGCCTAGGTGTTCTCTAGAGTCATGTCATGATTGGATTTAAAGGTTAAAGTTGGGGGAAAATTCACTTTAAATACTGGTCTTGACAAGTCCCATTCATTTTATAAAGAAGGAACCATTTACTCTTCAGTCGTTAACGTAGACTTGTTAATTTTCTAACAGCAGGAAAGAAGAAGATCTTGAAGTACCTAAATAGCTCAAATTAAAAGATGTATCAATAGCTTTTTCCCTTTTCCCCAATCCCCTTTGATTTGATTGGCCTTTAGTTGTATGGTGTGCCTCTGTGGGTGAGAAAGTGCACCCACCTCCATGGAGATAGAACACTTGGTTTGGTCTAAAGAATCCCAGAAAGGAAGGGACACTCCTAAGAGGAAGCAGCGAGCTCATCAGCCAGTTGGTGGTGTTAGTTCTTGTAGAAAAGGCTTTATCTTGGAATTTTATGTCTTCCAAAGATGCCTTTTGGAGTCATTAAAAATCCCCAAGCATACACCAACCCCTGAAGAATCCAGAACAGTAATAAACACTCTTTATTCTGCTTTGATGAGCATGCCTACTTGCCTTAGCCACAAACACATTTTTCCTTCTAACCAGAGATTAAGCTTTCATGTTAGTCAATGACTGCTGTGAAAGCAACCCCTCCATCCTTGCTGAGAGAGAAATACTGCTTGCGTAACCCTGTGAAATCCCAAATGACATTCTGGAATCCTGAGCTGGGGTGGGTGTCAAGCTCCTAATTACCTTGACTGGCAACAGGCGTGATAATCCTAATGTCTCATTGATCGCTAATGTTTCATGGATCCTCAGGAAACAAGGCCATGAACTTGGTGGTGACTTCTCGGTAGCACACTCATCTGTACTTATTGCCCTGTTAACTGTGTCCTTGGGCATGGTGTCACTGAGTCCTGCTTGTATCCTCTTGTATGCTCAATGGCATGGTTTTTGCATGGGCTAGCAGACAGTCTTAATTTGCTCAGACTTCTTACTCTTCGCTCTCTCAAGGTATAACTCACTCTCCAGCAAACTAAGAGATCTGCAGAACTGCAGCTCGGTTCTTTTTGTTTAATATATATTTTTTAGTTGTAGATGCACACAATATCTGTATTTTATTTACTTATTTTTATGTGGTGCTGAGGATCAAACCCAATGCCTCACATATGTAGGCAAGTGTTCTACCACTGGGCCCCAGCCCCAACAGCTCTGACAGACGCTACTAGAACATTCTTGTCTCGGTCAATTTGGACTGGAATAACAAAATACCACAATCTGGGAGGCTTAAACAAAAGAAATTGATTTCTCACCTTTCAGGTGATTGAGAAGTAAGATTGAAGTGCTCTGTGAGGCAGGTTTCTTTCTGAGGCCTCTTCTCTTGGCTTGTGGGTGGCTGCCATCTTGCCTGTGTGTTTTCCTCACCTCTTCCTTGGGCACTGTAGGAGAGAGGGAGCTCTGGGCATTAATCCCATTATGGGGGCTCTACCCTCATGACATCATCTAAACCTAATTACCTTCCAGAGGCCCTACCTCCTAGTGTCATCCTGTTAGAGGTTTGGCATAGGAATTTTTGGGGGACATAAATACTCAGTCCATGAACAACTCTTAAGTTTTTATTTGCAGTCGCCTTGAAGTGCTAGCAGGGGCTCTATGTTAGAGAAACTTTTATTGCTTGGAAAAGAACTATTCTATAGACGAGATACTCCAGGGAGAGGTGTCTCTTGGAAGACCTTTACACAGATCTAGAGGTAACCTGGGGCTAGACAGGTGAGCTCCTTGTCTATCCAGGTCTTGGGTCTCCTGGTACCATATGCCAGAGCTAAAGGTGTGGTTGTTAAACTTGATCAGCCTCACTGAAATTTGGATGGTGCAGCATTTAGTATTCCCTGACCACCTTCTATTGCCTTCTTTCTATCCTTCTAAAAAGGACTCTTGGAACCCAAACCTGGCAAAATGGTCTCTTCTGAATCATCCTGGGCATTTACTCCCTTTTCATGGGGGGAAAGAAAGGCATTGATGAAAACAAAGCTATTCCATTAGAGATGAGTATCTCACGTGTCATTTTGAAAATGTACAAACACATAGTAGTGTCCACATGGAGGTACACATGCGTGCACGCCCCTGTGCCAGGTGGAATACTTTACAACATGAAAAGGCTTTTGAAAAATCCTTTAAACTTTCAAGGAACAGATAATTCCTGTGTTATATAAACTGTTCTAAGATTCAGAAAAAAAGATGGAAAACTTCCAGAT